AAAGACTGATAACCCAATTACAAAATGGGCAAAAGACATGGAAAAAATTTTCACAGAGGAAAATATTCAAATGGCAAACAGACACATGAAGAAATGCTCTATTCTACAACAGTGGCACCATGCAGTTTGTCCTTTTGTGACTGAAATATCTCACTCAGCATAATGTCCTCCAGGGTCACCCATTTTGAATAATATTGCATGAGTTCCTTGTTTTTCAATGCAGTGTAATAGTCCATTGTGTGAATATACCACAGCTTCTCTATCCATTCATTTGTTGATGGGCACTTAGTTGGGGAAAGGATGAGGAAAACTGGATAAATTATGTATACTGCATTGAAATGAATGAGGGAGAATAGTTTAAAAGCAATATATTATAGGGTATTATGTTTATCAAAGGAGTCTGGAATGAAGGTTGCAGAGTGGAGTATACTTGGGGCAGGGGGTGGGGTGGGGGCAGGGGGATTGTATACCAATGAAGGAATTTTTTATAAAAAAATTCCAAATCACTGGCAATGAGAGATGCAAATCAAAACCACAATGAGGTACCATCTCACTTCAGTAACAGTAGCAAAGTTTAACAGGGTAGCAAATAATAAAATTGTTGGTGGGATTGTAAGGTGGTACAACCATTCTGGATGGCAGTTTGGCGCTTCCTCAAAAGGCAGAATGTAGAAATTCCGTATGACCCAGCTATTCCACTACTAGGAATATACCCTGAGAATATGAGAACTGAGGCGCAAACTGAGATTTGTATGCCAATGTTCATAGCAGCATTATTCAACATTGCAAGAACATGGAAACAGCCCAAATGTCCAACCACAAATGAATGGATTGAGAAATTATAGTACAGTCATACAATGGAATACTAAGCACCATGCAGGAGCAATGATTTTGTAAATTATTGCCTAACTTGGGAGGGACTGGAGAGAATTAAGCTGACTGAACTAAGTCCCACAAGGATAAATATTGTATAAAACCATTATTGTAGAGTAAATATAAGGATTTAGGAGGGGAGGGAGAGGTTGGAAGCAGAGGGATGAGGACGTGCAGGGGGAGGGAGGATTGATTTTGGGCTTGTACAATTTGATGGGTGAAGGGGGTAAGGGAAATGGAAAGAATTTGTTCTTGAAAACAATGTATTCGGATTTTGCAAATATACTAGTAGAAAATGAAAAAAAAATTTATTCTGGGCATATGTCAGAGAAAATTGCTATTCTGACTATATAGAAATATTTCAGGTAAGAAAAATACACAAAGATAACCCAAATCTCCTGCCAATGTACATGTGCTTTCACCCTAACATTAAGTTACAATTAGAAAATGTAAGTGTTGTCTTTCCAGCAAAAATGCAACACTTGTTAGATTTGCCTGAAGAGAAACTAACTCAAGTCAGACTCACTGCCATTGTCGAGTTGGAAGCAACCCATAAGCTGACACTCCAGCAGGCTTCTGAGGCTGTGAGCAGCAAGGGAGGAGACTCCACAGTTCTCCCTCCGAGCTGCTGACGGGATTCGAACTGTCAAAGGGGCATGACCTTCCGGTCAACAGCACAACTCCCTACGGGCTATGCCACCAGCAGAGAAACTAAAGTTTTCCTAAATTCCAATGATGCATTCTCTCTTTTTTGGGGGGGGGGGGGGGGGAGTAGTGAAGAGGTGCTGCTATCTAACTAATTTATGACTTAACGAGAAATTAGTTAAATTCTTTGATTTATTTTAAAGCTTCATAACACTTGTTTCTTCACCATTACCAAAACCCCAGTTCCTGTCTTATCCCTTCAGAAGCAGCCTTTGTAGTTGCTGGGATAGTTTCTAATCCTTGCAAGCACTGCCCCCTGCTGTAACATACATCTAATTGCAGAAGGCTCTGTTATGGTCTCCAAAAAGTATTAAGAAAAAAGATACTATTAAAGTGAAAAAGGCTTTTTATTTTGAGTAATACACATAACATTCATTCTATATGATTTTCATAGTGCATATCTATAAATGGACATACGCAGGGATAAAAGAAATGCTTAAGCATAGGCGTATACAGGTGGAGAGAACATTCAGTATACAAATGAATATGCTTAAAAGTCAGAGGTGAGAAGAGGATCTTTGAGGAAAGAAAACAATACAAGCACACACTCTATGCAACCACGGCAGGAAAGTGCAATCAGGACATAATACACATGCTCTTTGGGTCAAACACATCATACATAAAGGAGTGGCTTGGCTGTCACGTCCAAGCTGAAAATCATCTCTAGAGCAAAAAGTGCAGATTTTGTTCTGTTACATGTGGTAATAAAATACTCAAGGCCACAGATGGAGCTCACCAGCTTCGGAAAAGATTACTGAGAGGTAGGACGAATTAGAAGTGGGCGAGGCAGAAAGAGAGCAATGCATTAAACCTCCGCCCGAGTCAGGAAGTGGCGGGTGCACAGGCTTTAGCGCGAGCAGGAGCAGGGCTGTCTATACTAGGATACAGTTCCATGTCCATTGTCAAAGGCAAGTCACTGTGTTGCCACAAAGTTCACCGAAGGAGATGAGGCAACAAACGCAGAGCTTGCGGAGAGGAGAACAATTTTCATTTCCTTTTCACTTTACACATTAATGGGGATGGGGGGGAGGGTGTGTGGAGTTTAGAACCAGAAATTCTCACCCTCCTACTCATTACACTAACTTACGCCTGGCAGAGAGAAAGTGGAGAGATGAAGACTGAATGATCAAAATCAAGGTTCCAACTGAAATTGTTCACAGCTGGAGAGCTACAGAAAGGTAAGACTCTTTGCCTTTGTTTTCAATAAATGCTTAAAGGAGGTTTTAAAACTTGAGATGGGGCAGTGGGGGGCTGGAGGGAGGCAAATGGATACAACCGCAATGAAAGATACCGAATAAAATCTCCTGGCGCCTTTGAGGGCTTCCTTCCTTTTTTTTCCCCTTTTATTTTTTTTTTTTTTCCAACTTGTGTTGTAGAGTTGATAGCAACGCAGGCAGGCTGCATGGTGTGTCCTAGGACATCATCCTCCTACATTCCACCGAGCAGAAGACCATCCCTTCCACTGGCATGAACTTCTGCCCGATGAGACACTTGCTGCAGCAGGAGCACAGGAAGCACTCGGTGGAGGCGTGCCAGCTGAAGTTGTTGTAGGTCACCCGCTGCACCTCGGGGTCGATGGCATTGTGGCAGCCTTGGCACACCTGGTAGGGAATAATGCAAACAAGAAATGAGGAGAAGAGATCCAATTGTGCTGTGTTGCTGTTAGATGCCGCTGAGTCGAGTATGACCCACAGTGACCCTATGAACTACAGATCTAAACCCTGTCCTGTCCCGTGCCACCCTCACACCTCCTGACACACTGGAGCCCTTTGTGGCAGTCACTGTGTCAATCCACCTGGTCAAGCATCTTATTCTCCTTCGCGGACCCTCTGCCTTTCCAAGTATCATGTCCCTCCTCCCAGGAATAGCCCCCTCCTAGAAACATGCCCGAAGTATGAGACACTTTCAATCTTTTCTCCATCTATCATGATGTTGCCTATTGAGAACATAACTGCATTGTAATACAGCCATTTTGGGGCAAACTGAACACACGTCTTCAGATAATGAACATCCAAATTAAACAAAAGGAGAACTTTCTGGTAAACCTATAAATAGGTGTTAATGAGCTCTATACATTGAGTCTTCATCTGCCTGTCAGTTTGCTGTAATGTAGTGGCTTGCATGTTGCTATCGAGCTGGAAGCTATGCTACTGGTATTTTAAATACCGGCAGAGGCACACACGGTGGACACATTTCAGTAGATCTTCCAACTAAGATATATCAGGAAGAAGGCAATCAACTTCCAGAAATCAGTCAATGAAAAGAGTATGGGTTATAACATAATATATAACGTATCTAATGGAAAGGAGCCCTGGTGCATAATCTGCTGGTCAAAAGGTGTGCGGTTCAAATCCACTACCTGCTCCAATACAGAAAGATACTCATGTAAAAATTCTTCCATAAGGATTTAAACCTTGGAATCCCAATGAAGGGTCACCATGAGTTGGAATGAACCCAACAGTGACAGGTTTTGCTGTAAGTCCCCTAGGTTGGAAGGGACTCAACATGTATAGTGGCTGCAACAGCAGACTCAGTATTACCAGTCATCGTGAGGACTGTGATCTCAAGACTGGGTAACATTTCATCTTTTGTCTGTGATGTTGGCCATGAACGAAAGCTCATGGGAACTAACACAATTATGGACTGAGAGTTATGAAAAATAGGGGAAGGTCCTGTAAGCCTATTAGCACGGAGTCATCAGGACTCATAGTGATCCTATACAACAGACTGCCTCAGAGTTTCCGAGGCTGTGATTTCTACAGAGTCAGAACGCTGCACTGTTACCTTACAGAGCAGCCGGTGGGTCCAAACTGTGGATTTTCTGGTGAGCTGCCAAGCTCTTCACCACTGTGCCACCAGGGCTCTTAAGGCACTATATCCTTTGGAACTGGTGTTCAAGGTGTTTATGGTAGAAAATCTTAAGAAAACGGTTTACGAATTACAAAATGGTGTATTTGGTTCCAGTGTATTCTAGTATATAACGAGCATATAACTCATTATGAAGAATTATTAGGAATGATTTGCTTCACTCATTAAAGCTTTGTAGTAGCAATTCTTCCAGTCTTACCTTTGACACCTGAAATTATTACCACCACTAATTTCTAGAGTAATAAATAATTACGTTCAAAGTAATTAAGGATTCAATTAAAAATACTGACAGAGTTTGAGAATAATTAGTTTGCACTAAAAAATATCATTTGTAGTTAATTGGCATCTGTTCTGAGCCAATAAATTCAGCCATACTTGATGCATAATCTAAAATTATAGGACATCAGTATTTACACTCTATCAGCACATCAGCAGAGAACTACCAGAAGTCCAGGCTGGGTTTAGAAGGGGTCGTGGTACTAGAGATATTGTAGCTGATGTTAGATGGATCTTGGCTGAAAGCAGGGAATACCAGAGGAATGTCTATCTGTGTTTCATTGACTATGCAAAGGCATTTGACTGTGTAGATCATAACAAACTGTGGCTGACTCTGAGAAGAATGGGAATCCCAGAACACTTGATCATTCTAATGTGAAACTTATACTTGGACCAGGAGGCAGTCTTCAGAACAGAGCAAGGGAACACTGCATGGTTCAAAATTGGGAAGGGCGTATGCCAGGGATGCATCCTGTCTCCATACCTTTTCAACCTATATGCAGAACAGATTATCCGGGAGGCTGGGCTCTATGAGGAGAAATGTGGGGTCAAGACTGGTGGACGATTTATCAACAACCTGCGTTATGCGGATGACACAACCCTGCTTGCTGAAACTGAAGAGGACCTGAAGCGCCTGCAAGAACTGCAGCCTCCAATATGGATTGAGGCTCAATGTCAAGAAGACAAAGATTCTCACCACTGGACCAATTGGCAGCGTCAGGATGGATGGTGAAGAGATTGAGATTGTACACAGCTTTAGTTTGCTTGGCTCCTGAGATTGTACACAGCTTTAGTTTGCTTGGCTCCATAGTCAACAGTCTTGGCACCAGCAGCCAGGAAATTAAAAGGCGCATTGCCGTGGGAAAGTCTGCTGTTAGGGACCTCTCCAAAATACTGAAGAGCAATGGTGTCTCTCTGGAGACTAAGGTGCATCTGATACAGGCTATGGTCTTCGCAATCACCTGTTATGCATCAGAGAGTTGGACAATGACCAAGGAGGATAGAAGGAGAATTGGTGCCTTTGAGCTGTGGTGCTGGAGAAGAGTATTGAGAATACCATGGACTGCTAGGAAAACAAACAGATTTGTTCTGGAAAGGGTTAAACCGGGTGGCTCCCTGGAGGCAAGGATTCTGAGGCTCCGTCTAACATACTTTGGACATGTTGTGAGGAGAGACCGGTCCTTGGAGAGGGACATCATGCTTGGGAGGGTGGAGGGACAGCGCAGGAGAGGAAGGCCCTCTATGAGGTGGATTGATTCAGTGACTGGGATAATTGGGATGGGAGTGTCAGAGACAGTGCGATTGGCACAGGACAGAGCAGAGTTTAGGGCTGTTGTACATAGGGTTGCTATGAGTTGCAAGCGACTCGACGGCACATAACAACAACAACAACAACAACATATAAAAACAAGGAGCTCACATGACCTACTGGTAAGAATATGCACTGTAATCCCAAAGACTTGTGATTCAAATCCACTAGGTGCTCTAAGAGAGAATGATGGGCAATCTCCTTCCTCCCACGAAAACCCACTGAATGGTTAGCTATGGGTCACTTCTGACTCAGCAGTACATAACTGACTCAGCAGTACATAACAGCAACAACATATAAAAACACACATACAGTGCGTGTGTGCCTGTGTGTATACACGTACGTTTACACACATACCCAGACACCTATGCATATATTTCTTTCAAACACAATCATTTTATTTTCCACTGAGTATAAGTAAAAAGAAGTGAAATTAATATTCCTTTACCTACTTATGATAGTAGAAATGAGTCAAATTAAAACAGTGGGTAGTTCACATGTCTGTAAAATACATTGTTTGCTCATGTACCTAAAGTTTCATTTAAAGTTTTAAACCAAATGAAGAAACCAACAAGAGCGTCTGTTGTGGGAAGCCAGTGACCAACCGTCAGCATATTTGGTCCCATGCTGTGATTTCCAGGAACTACTGACAGATGAAAGATGGGAAAAGATAGGCTGAGAGTCATTTAGCTTGAGTGTCAGGAAAATGAGTTTAGCGAATAAAGTGTAGTTTTGCTATAAATGTATATTTCAGGCCTATAATATAACCTCTGTATTTTTTCCAAGAGTCACATTACTTCTAATTACAGAGATTGTTGCTGTTAAATCTACATATTATGTCAACTCAGTGTTCCTGGAAATTAAAGAGAGATCCTGATATATACACTGATATAGCATGACTAAGATCTCCCCCAGGCCCAGATCCCCACCAAAAAAAATAGCTATAAATATTAACCTGTGGTTATACCATTTGTGAATGGTTATCTTTGTTATTTTAATGAGGATATTAGTCGTACAGGATGCATCTTAGATGAGTCTCTTTTGAGATATCAAGGAAGAAGCTAAACAAGCACACAGCACTGAGGTAAGCACTCATGTGTGCACAGGTAATGGGGGAGACACACACCACAAGATCACCTCAGAACCTGACAGAAGCAAGGAGCATCAGGACCTCGGCCCAAGGATGGCTCAAGGACTAGAACCATCAGAGAGGCCTTTTTTTCTCCTTAAAGTGGAAATTTTTGTGCACCTCTTTGTATCTTTCTTTTCTTTTACGATATTATAAACAACAGCCCTTTCCATGCATATAGATTGACACAGTGACTGCAACAATGCCCCAGAACATGGTAGAGACTGTGATCATGGCACCTAACAACAGCACTACCAGTAATAACAAATTAACCTACAAGTGGATCCCCAGGCAGCCAGACAAGATAAAAGACACAGCAGATATGCACAAGTGAAAGGGATGACAGCCATGATGAGGCATGGGTTTGGCAGATGAGATTTCAACATGATTATCTATTTGTATGCACTGCAAATACATCCAAATATATAGCAGAGAGCCAACAGGAGGTAATAGTAGCATAAACTCTGTAACCATTACCGAAAATCTGAAGGAATGAACCACTGGTTATGGGTCTTAGGATCTGAGTTCTAGGGGACATCAAGGTCAGATGGCATAGTTCACAAGGACAGTGTTCTATATCCACTATTGGTGAGCAGTAACTGGGGATTTGAAAGCTTTCCAGCAGCCACCTAAGGTGCCACTGTTTCTCTCTGTGAGGAGCAAAGAATGAGGAAAATCAAAGAGGCATGGAAGCAACCAGACTACAGCCCAAGAAGACTTCATAGTCCTCGACTTCCCAACCCTGAGACTAGAACTACTTGATGCCCGACAGCTACTGCTATCCAGTCTTAAAGGAATCGTATTAGAGGGTTCTACACGGGCTGGGAGATAAACCTAGTTCAAAATTCACAATCACACAAGTGGCCAGGTGTACTGGTCTGATAGAGACTGGTGGAACCCTCGAGACTATGGTCCTAAGCTGTGCTTTGAGCCTGGAACTGAATTCACCACTATGGGAACTGCAGCCAGTCAACAGACTTATCTATAAGTGGAAAAAAAACCACACAAAAAACAACTAAATAAAAAAAAAACCCACCAAAAAAGCCCCACTGGGAAGGTACTCAGCCCTTAGTATGCTTGACACACAGCATTTCCCTAAGGATTAAACACAGCAGGCAGGAAGGGACAGCATGGAAGGATGTGGAAATAAGGACCACAGAGAGGGGGAGGAGAGACTGATGTTATAACGTGGGTATTTCAAACATCATAAAAAATAAAGAATGGATGAACGGAATGCCAATCTGTTCTGTACACTTTCATTCAAGTTGCAATCAAGAGTTAAACAAAAACCAAGTGGGGATAATAAAACAGCACTCCAAACAGCACTCCTAATAGTCTAAACTACACAGATGGCAATCTTGAAGTAGCTTATGGTCAAGGATGTACTGTTTCTGAAAGGCCCTCTTGGTAAGAATTACATGCTTTACTAGAGAGGCGTGTTTTCTATTGCTCATTTGTCAGATGCTTAAATACAGAAATACACGTGAGCCCCAAGGTGGATGGAAGGAAATGCCTCTCACCACGGCGTGATTCTTCACATAGCAGGGCTTGCACACCGGCCTGTCGTTGACCATCACGTAGATTTCCCCAGCTAGGATGTTGTCACAGTCAAAGCAGCAGAAGTGTTTCAGGTGCCAATTTTGGTTTTCGGCTTGGGTATATTCGTTGCTGAATATGAGCTAGGAAGACAATTTAAAAATAAAAAGGTGAAGTATGTGTGGTTTCCGACTGGCTCCAAATGTCAAAGCAAGGTTCTGACAGCAATAAAGGATTTAAAACTGTAAGTACATCAATATTTTTTGAAGGGCTTGAAGTTTGAACATGATACCTTACAGTTACTTGGGTAACCATTTAGTTTAGCACAAATCAATCTTTTGTGTTTTTTGGTCAACTTAACAGCAGAAAGCTCTGGTGGCCTAATGGTAAAGAGATGTGTTGCCAACTCAAAGGCACAGGTTTGAATCCAGCAGCTGCTCTGTAGGAAAAAGACAAGCAATTTCCTCTAGTGCAATTTACAGCCTCTGAATACCCAGTAGAGGATCAGCTATGAGGATGTGCCTTGATGGGCACACAACAACCTAACAATACCAACAACTCAGAATGAATGGAATGAAAAGTTCCTTTCAGTAAACTACTTTGGATGTAAATAAAACAACTGATATTTGGCCAATCAGAATTGGCTCCTTTCTGAGGGTGGTTGGTTCTGCTGGTCAGGGGATCTCAGGGAGGCGCAGGAGAAGGAGGCTGTCCGCAAGTGGCCACAGAGAACCTACCTCGTCACAGCCAGCACAGCGTGGCTTCTCGCTGTCCCCGTAGTGCCGGCCGCAGTACAGCTTCCCATTCTTCCAGAAATAGATCATGTCCACCAGGAGTTCCCCACAGGTACTGCACACAAAGCACGCTGGGTGCCAGAGCTTACTGTAGCCGGCTCTCTCGGCGTACACAGCAGGATCACCCTCCTTCATGCTCAGCTTACAGCAATAGCAGGACTGAAAGGGAAGCACGCAGAGGCTCAGCCCCAGACAGACGGCAACTCTTAAACCTCTGCTTTTGCAGATTTAGAGAAAAAAAAATGTTCAAGAGACATCATTTCAACTGCGATGAGTAACCTACTCCTGAAGACAACTGTATGCTAGAATGTCCACAGCAAGCAGTCGCTGGCCATCTCCAGGCTGCTCAGATCTCATTCATGCAGAACAGAAATTCAACAATGTTTCCTGACTCCAACTCACCTACTGAAAACGGTGAACAGCAATGCTGACCTTACTTTGAAGTTCCATAAAAACAACAACCTTAGAGCTCATCAGTCCCTTTCCCTCACAGGACTGGGCCTTACTGGTTGGTGTGCTAATTACTACGTAGGAAGTACCATCAAGAAACCCTGGCGTGTTTATTTTTTAATTGTTCTACTGTGTCACTACTGTCTTCTATCTTGAAGCTACAGAAAACACTTTAGTTGTATTTTCCTTTCTAATAACAACATGAAAAGAAAATATGATTAACTTAAGGGTGAATTTTAAGTGCTGTCTCCCAAGCAAAAGTGGCTTAATCTAAGCATATATTACTGTTAATTTATGGGATGAGATAACACCACCAAAATGATGTTTAACAAACATTCTACATCACTCTGTTGTCTTCCAACAGGATGCCAGATACCAACTGCTGTGCAAACATAAACTTTCAATTATGCCTGGCAATAGAAACGATGGCTTTAGAGAGACATTTAAATGTGATAACTCCCTCAAACAAGCCCAACGGAAATGTAATTCCTTTATTTCAATATCTTTTTTGGAAAAAGCCTAAAAAAAAAAAAAAGGTTCAAAGAAAGGGAAAGAAGCTATAAAATACCCAAAGTGGGCAACGGCCTGACCCCTACTTACATACTGAGGTGCCCTGTTCTCGGCAGCTTTGTCCTCCACGGTGCCCACGGCGGCTGCGCCGATTTGGTCACCACCCGGGATGCACGCCGTATCGGGGTCCTGGGCGTTATTCACGTCCTGCGGCAGTTTGACGTCTCCTACTCCCAGCGCCTCATTCTTGTATTTCTTCACAAACTGCTCCATCTCTTTTACCTCCCTGGGAGTCAGCTCGTGGCACTTGGATGGGTCCTGGTCATGGGCGGGGAGCTGCTTTGCCAGCTGCTTCTTGCGGTACTGTGCCCCCTCCGAGCCGGCCACGGGCTGCTTCTCCTTGGGCAGCATCTGCATGTACTGCCTGGCCTGGACAACGGGAGATGCATGTCAGGGTGGGAGATCAGTGGGGCCATCAGACAGGGCAGTATTTCACAACCCACTGCAGCACCAAATTCCTTACAATGAGGTCGTTCTATTCATTAGTGACAATTACACTTGACAACATAAACATCTGACTGATGTTAGCATATTCAAACGTGGTGCTCTAAAGAGATTTGGCTGGGTGAAAATGAACATCAACAGAATTCAAAGATTTTCTCCAATTTAGGTTCCTATTGTGCACCTGCTCCAAAAATTCAAATGTATAACTGCAAGAGTGACCTTATGAATCAGCAGCACTATAAAAATATGGAAATTGATGTATAATCAATCATGAGATTCATGGGACAATTCAGCTTGCTTCCTTAAGAGATTTATAAATATCCTACTTATTTGTTGGAATTGTGGAAGGGACTTGATGCAAACTTGCCCTTCTGTAAAAGTATACAGAAAAAGAAATGCATTGCTATTGTTTTTAAGTGTCAATGAGTGGCTTATTACTCATAACAACCTTATGGACAAGAGATCTGAGCCTTGACTTATCCTGTGCTGTCCTCACCATTTCCACCAAGCTTAAGACGCCCTGAAGTCACTGTGTCAAACCATCTTGCCGGGAGTCTTCCTCTCTTTTGCTAACAGTCTATTATAATCAGCATGAGGTTTTTTCCCAAGGACTGGCCGCTCCCTGATAACATGTCCATAGTACGTGAGATGAAATTGTACCATCCTTGATTCTAAGGAGCACCACAGTGGCCTTTCCTTCAAGATAAGCTGGTTCATTCTTTTGGCATGCCATGGTACATTTAATACACCCCAATACACCCCAATTTAAAGGCATCAATTCTTTTCATTTGGTCTTGCTTGTTCATTGTCCAATTTTCATTTGCTTGGCAAGTAACTGAAAAAAATCCATGACTTCATTCTGGTGAACCTCAGTCTTTAAACTGACATCCTTATTCTTTAGCACTTTAAAGAGGCCCTTGACAGCAGATTTACGGAATGCAACACATCTTTTGATTTCGTGGCTGCTGGTATAATCAGTATCGACTGTGACTCTAAGTAAAATTGGTTCACTGACACCTTCAATCTTCCCTGCATTAATCTTCTCTTACCTTTGTCTACTTATGAGGATTTTTGTCTTTTTCCTAGTGAGGCTGTGAAGGTATGCACTGAGGCTCCAGGAATTGGTGGAATAGTAACCAGGGTGGTTAAGTAAGGGATGCAGCCCTATGTGTAGTCTTTGATCTTCAGGAAGTGCTGCCAAGTGTTCACTTCCACAAGTCAGGTTGTGTCATCTACATAATACAGATTGCTGATGAGTCTTCCTTGAATCCTGATACTGCATTCTTCTTCATACAGTTCTGTTTCTGGAATTATCTGCTCAACATACGTAATGAATAGTTACAGAGAAAGGATATAACCCTGACACATGCTCCTCCTAATTTTAAACTGTGCAGTAGTAGATCCTTGTTCTGTGTAAATGATGGCTTCTGGATCTACACACGGGTGACATATGTGTCCAATTAAAAGTTCAGAATTTCTGTTCTTCACAATGTAAGCCACAGTTTACTATAATCCACACAGTTAAAGGCCTTTGCGTAATCAATAAGACCTAAAAAAAAATTTTTTTTCTGAGATGCTTTGCTTTCAACTAAGATCCATCTGACATCAGACAATGATATCCCTTGTTAAAAAGCCTGGCCTTTTCTGAATCTTTTCTGAATCAATCTAGGTTGAATATCTGGCAACTTCCTGTCAATGTACTGCTTTTGTCATCAACCTTCAGCAGGGCTATGTTTCTGTGTGATAGTGATGATATTGTTGTTACAAATTCAAGCCTCAAGTTGTGATAATGAAGGCTATTATGAGCAAAATAATGAATGATGTAAAAAGCATCTAAAAAAGATGGAAGGCATAAACTCACTGTGCCAAAAAGAAGAGGTCGGCACGGAATCACTTCAGCAGACAGCATGTGATCAAGTGCTGATAGCAGTGGAAAGTGGAAGCTGCAGTGAAGGGACGCACTGACCACACACAGGCTCCAGAAACGCATGGGATATCAACTGAGGTGGTTCAGCCAGTAGACGCTGCCCTACATGCGACTACTTGCCCGTGCCAAGAAAGCTGAAAGACAGCCACCTGGCCAACTGACTGGGAGAGATCCACATTTGTTTCCATTCTAAAACAAGGTGAGCCAACAGAATACAGAAGGATAAAGTGCTGAATATTTTAAAAAGTCTCAACAATGGCACAAACTATATTCTTATGAAATTCTTCACTATCTTATTAAATGGTAGTTTAGAAAAACTACTAGAGACACGCAAAAAATTCCTTTAACGCAATTACTAAGAGCACCATCGAGTTGTTGATCAACTCAAAGAGATCAACATATCGAGGCAGTGACCTGTAATTCTCCGAGCTGTCTATTCTTGTGCTCAAAGGACTGTAACAGCAGTCTGAAGTCAAAGTAATAGGGACTCTAGAAAAAGAAAAGACCCGAGGTGTATGTCAGGTGGGTCAGGTCACTAAAGGGGGCGTCCTAAGTACACAGGAACCTTGCTACGTGGGCTCACTCCGCTCTTACTTACCAGGGCCTGATTGTGGACAGGAGGGGCCCACTCATAGGTAACTGTGTTGATGGACACATTCTTCTTGGCAGCAACAGGGTTAGTCAGTATCATCACATTGCGTTTATACATGGGAATTCCGTCGGATTTTAGCTTTGCAATCAGGGTGGTGTATTTGGTGTCCTCAAAAAGTTTCCCCACTTTTCGATCCTCTTCACTGCTCAAAAGGATGTCATGTTCTTCTTGGCCACACTTGCAGTTACGACATATTTTTCTACAATTTTAGAGATAAACAGGCAATGGTTAATTGTATTTAATAATAATTAAGTGCTTTTTTATTAGCTTTCTACTTCATAAAAGAGCCTTTATCAATGGTCTATGGGGATGGTATATACATAAGCAAGTATTTTGGGCGATGTTAAGTAACTATCTAGAAATAAGGAAGAAACATAAATGGGTACAATTTTTTAAACAAGTTGTGATTAAAAACTGTATTAAGCTTCCTTCCTGTCTGACATCTCAACAAAGGTGCACTTGTGGTAGCTCTTCTCTGAGCTTCACGATACCGCCCAAGCATGACAAGAAAAAAAAAGACCCAGCCAACAAATCTGGGGGCAAGGTCAAGAAGAAGTGGTCCAGAGGCAAAGTTCGGGCCAAGCTCAATAACCTGGTCTTGTCTGACAAACTTTGTAAAGAAGTTCCCGACTATAAGCTTGTAACCCAGCTGTTGTCTCTGAGACTGAAGACCTGCAGGTCCCAGGCCAGGTGGCCCTTCGAGAGCTGCTGGGTAAAGGGCTAATCAAAACAAAAAAGGGCTGGTTTCAAAACACAGAGCTCAAGTAATTTACACCAGAAACATCAAGGGTGGTAATGTCCCAGCTGCTGGTGAAGATGCAGCAACAGGACCAACTAACTGCACATTTTGAAAAATAAAACTTTATTTAATAAAAAAAAAAGTATATACAAAGTGAGATTAAAAGGAGACATATCTGAGGATAATCCTACCTGCTCTCTTCATTCTCCCATTTAAATTACACACCCCAAACCTATTACAGTGAGTGCTTTGATCGTGTACCATTGACAACTTTCCGTAGTTACTGCCTACGAGAGCTCCCTGGAAGCCAGGATGGTGACACCTCGTCTCACGTACTTTGGGTGTGTTGTTAGGAGAGGTCAGCCCTTGGAGGAGGACACCATGCTTGGAAGAGTGGAGGGTCCAGGGTAAGAGACTTGACAAGATGGACTGACACACTGACTGTAGCAGTGAACCCAGCGGGTTGGAGATGGCAAGGATGGCACAGGGTAGGGTAGGTTTCAGCTCTGTTGCTCTGAAGGTCACTACAAGTCACTTGATGGGCACCTAATAACAGCCACCACCACCTGAGGCTCATTTGGTTTTGTGCTTTCAGTGAGTGATGGGGAGATGACTGATACTTTCCCAAGCACAAAGAGCAAGTCTAGATTTGGGCTCAGAGTCTTTCCCATTTTCTTTCCTCTCTTCCTTTTATTGTCTTAAGCACTATTCACACCATGTGCTGTCATGTATTAAAAGACAGATAAGTGTTTTGCCCTCACTGTGTTTTTCATCCTGGATCCTTTTCCAGTGAAGACTGCCAACCATAAAATGCAAAGATTAGAATGAATACAAGGAAAAAGTAAATCAGGTCTTTTTAATCATTAAAAAACATAAAAAGACTGAAAAGCAAACTACCAACTCAGGAAATATTTTAAAAGCATAATAGGTGAATTGATGCCTTTGAGATGTGGTGCTGGAAAGAGTATTGAATACACCGTGGACTGCTAGAGAACAAACAAGTTTGCCCTGTAGAGGTTGTGAAGCCAGGCTGCTCCTTGGAGGCAAGGATTCTGAAGCTCCGTCTGACATATTTTAGACATGGTGCAAGGAGGGACCAATCCTTGAAAGGGACGTCATGCTTGGGAGGGTGGACGGACAGTGCAGGAGAGGAAGACCCTCGATGAGGTGGATTGATTCAGTGACTGGGGTAATGGGGATGGATGTGCTGGAGACAATAAGACTGAAATGGGAGAGAGCAGGATTTCGGTCTGTTGTACATAGGGTCACTATATGTTGCAGGCAACTAGCACATAACAACTACAAAACTAGCAAATTAGTAAAACAATATACATTTACAGAAGTAAAGAGAAACTCAACAGAAAACCACTAAAAGCTTGAAGCAGCTTAAATCTGTATGTCATAAAAGATGAAACACACATGACCAAACAGCCAAACATCCTAAGAAAATTATTTCTGTCACCACAGAAATCAAGACAAGCAAATGAAAAAGCACAAGAAAACATCATTTCTCACCCAGAAGACCAGCCAGAAACAAACAGTATCAACCATCTGCAAGAAAGCAGTTCTGAAAATTCTCCCGTGTGGTTGATGAGAGCTCAACTTATAGGTTAGAGATAATAAAAAATCTCAGGAGGGGGAAAAAAAATCTCTTAGCCAAGTGACAAAGAATTATAAATGCTTGTGCTCAGAGTTTTCTGAAGACAAGGCATGCAAATGAAAATAACTTTATGGCCCGAGGAAGGGAGAGAGCACGTGAGAATGTGAGCCGCGGCCACGCCACACTTCTGGGCACACACTTGCCAGAATTCTTTATTTGGTAAGACTCTGCTAAAAAGAGAGTCTATTCTATTTCAGCCGGAAAAGATTCTTTCTGATTCAGATCCGGGGTTATCTGATACTCCCATTTAGAGGAAAGAAGTGTACTGTCTTAGCATAGTGTGTTCTTCATTCTTGCTCTTTGGTTAACAAAAACAATGCTATCATTTACAGAACAGAACTATCATACTATTTTGGGAATCAAGATTAAATGACACATTCCTGAAGGGGAAAGCCAAGGTGGGTTCTTAAATTAGCTAAAGAGATCCTTATATGTCTGGGATCTATGCCATGCATCATAATAATTAGCACATGATAATTATTTGAGATGCTCACTGGACTTCCTAGGGGACACTGTATTACCCAATCCTACTCCAGCACAATATGTTCACCACAGAACAGCAGGGGCAAGATTTTAGAATTTGAAAAGCAAACAATAAAAATTGATACTTTCTATAGTTTTCTTAAAAGGTGAGAAAATGACATGTTGTAAGTTATCATGTTAACCAATGATGTAAGAACTCTCTCTAAAATCTTCCTTGTTATTTTGTCTTGACTATTCTTGTCACAGGGAGCTATGGTGGCCTAATGGTAAGAAGCGATGCTTCAATTCCAAAGGCATGCAGTTTGAATCCACCAGCTGCCCTGTGGGAGAAGGATGAGCAATCTCCTCCGGTGAAATTTGCTGCCTCTGAAAATCCGCTGGAGGGTCAGCTATGGGTTGGTTCCAACTCAATGGCACACAACAAAAATAATATTCTTGGCCACACACATCTGTCAGTTGCTATGCTTGGTGGTTTCTGTGTTGCTGTGACAACCAGAAGCCACTGGTGTTTTTGAATACCAGCAGGGTCAGCCATGGGGAGCATAGGTATCATGAGGACAGTCCAAGAAGCAGGTCTGGCCATCCACTCTAGAGTAACGGGCCCTCAAAAAGCCCGTGAATAGCAGAAGAACAATGGCTGATACGGCACCAGAAGAAGAGACTCACAAGTATGTGGAAGAGTTGCCTTCTCAAAGTAGAGTCTACTTTTATTACATGTACGGAGTAAAGTTTTCACTCAGGAAAGATACTGCTTTGCTACCAAGCTGAAGGTGGTATAGCACTGGTCTGTGCACTGCTGTACAGAGGTAACTCATGGTTGCTGTGATGCTGAACACTGGGACACTGATGTGCCAAACGTGGTAATGGTCACCCATGGTTGGGTGGAGTTCCCCGACTAAAACAAGCCTGGAAGCAGGAGCGGCATCCACTTTCGAAATGGCTTGCCTCCTGAAACCCGATGAACAGTGCTCAGGCCTTTCGTTCACAGGGTCGCTATGAGTTGTCCATGATTTGATGGCACAAAACAACAACAATGTATGATGCAGCAAGACTCATAATGAACAGAAAGAACTGTAAAAATCATTAAGAATTAGGGGAGCTCTGGTGGCCTAGTGGCAAAGAGCTGCAACTACAATCCCAGAGCTGCACGGTTCGAATCCACCAGATGCTCTGCCGGGGAAGGAGGGACAATCTCCTTCTGTATCGGTCAGATCTGATTTGACGGTACACGCACACAAAAATAATAAAAAAAATTTTTTAAAAATTCTAAAAAAAATCATTAAGAATTGGAGCATAGAATGCACTAAGTACAAATCCAGGAAACCTGGACATTCTGAAACTGGAGTTGCACTGGAAACTCAAAGGTATGTGGTTCAAATCCACCAGCTGTTCCACAGGAGGAAGATGGGCAGACTCCTCCAGTGCGATTCACTGCCTCGGAAAAGCGGCTGGAGGGTCAGCTCTGACACAATGACACACCACAGCAACACCCCCTAGGCATCAGTGAGCTGAAATAGATTGGTGTTGGCAATTTTTAATCAATATATGATCTATTATGCTGGGAAAGACAAATTGGAAAAGAAAGGTGTAGCATTCATCATCATAAACAAAACACCACACATACAACAAACAAAACCATTTCACAATCTATCCTGAAATACAATGCTGTTAGTAGTAAAATAATATGTGTACACATACAAGGAAGACCTGTTAATATGACTATTTTTCAAATATACACAACCAACTACTAAAGCCAGAAATGAAGAAACTGAGAATTTCTACAAACTTCTGCACTCTGAAATAGATCAAATATGCAGTCAGCCTGCAGTAAGAATATTTGATGACTAGAATGCAAAAGTTGGAAATAAGAAGGACTTGTAATTGGAAAATACAATCTTAGGCATAGAGAAATGAGGCCAAGGGTCCTATGTACAATGATCTATTCAATGAAAACTTCATTAAAAAAAATAACCAGCCAGCAAACACATGGACTTCACCTGCTGTAATGCACAGAAATTAAATTGACTACATCTGTGAAAAGACAGGGTGAGAGGAAAAAAGCTCAGTATCATCAGTCAAAATGTGGCTGCGGTCAACTGGAATGAACGATAATTACTCAGATGCAAATTAAAATTGAAGTGGAAGAAAATTAAAAAGTTCATGGAAACCAAAATATGACCTACTTGAATAAACCATCTCAAGAATACATCTGATGCACTGAACACCAAGAACTAGAAAGCAATTGTGGGATTAAACACAATCATTATGCACAAGATAGCAAAGATCATTTAAAAGACAGAAAAGAAACAGAACATTA